GGAGGAGGAGGCGGCTGCGAAGGTCGAGGATGAAAGTCAACAACTGTTGACATGGCCCGGGAATGTTGCCATCTCGCCGAAGCGGGGAGAGACAAACGGTTACTGTGTGTAACCTGTCGAAGGGCCCTAAAACGGAGAGATGTACCGGGCTTCATTGTGAGAAAGATAATGATAAAAAGGAATGAAAATAGAGAATGTGAGATGAAAGAAGTGAGTGAATTGGTCAAAGTCAATCGAGAGAGGGACAGCAGATTAGCAGTGAGTGAGCTGCAGCAGCATGAGGCACTAAGCCAAGACAAGATGTATGCAGAGCTATGTACAACACCACGGACTAAGTCGAAAGAGCTCAAAACTCTAACATTATGAATGGGCCAGCTCTTGTTGGTGAGCTCTAGACTATAGCTACGCCTCACTCATACCCCCACGGCCGACCTCGGTCAGTCTCCGGTCCTAAACGCAGGCAATTACATACAAAACATCCATGCTACAACTCTCAACTCTTGGGGATATATGCCCCGGTAGTCTCGGCTTTCGGGAGCTTTTCTAGACTGTTGAATTGCCATGGAATACCGTCCTAAACCGCGTCTACCGAGATCCACTAGAACCTGGCGATGATCATCTACGACGGGGGAAGGGATGCAGATGGAAATGGAACCATATGATGTAGCTCAACAGACCTGACTGTTGAACGTAGATCATAATGCCAGCTTATGCCTTACGATTTTATGTCTTTCGAGCGCTGTTGTGAAGCTGTAAAGTTGAGGCTCCATCCCTCGGCCCGCTACCCGTGAACAACAGCATTCATTTTGTTGAAACAGGAATCTTGGCCTGCTACGAGACCCCTGATGGCAATTCGACATTTCTCGTTGGCTCGCCTAGAGAGGGGTTTTGGGATTTTGGTTGAGCTTGGTGAGGGGCCTTGTAGCTTATAACCCCGGGAGAAGCCCGCCCTGGACCGTCTTAGCTACCGTGATCGCGGCACTTTAATGGAGCAATGGCGTAACCGTGGGGTTGCTCAGTGGAGGCTGTTTTGTTCTCAGCTGTTTTGGTCATGTTGAAGAGAAACAATGTTATAGTTATAGTTGAAGTGATAAAGAAACTGTTGTTGTAGTATAAACCCTTAAACACGATATCAAGAAAGTAAGAACAAAGTAACTTGTCAGGAATAAATGCTTGTTGCTCCATGGAGTATATGTATTCATAGTCATTATCTCCCTCAGTCTATCCAAACGCCATATTCTGCAAACCCTATATCTCGTTATATCCAAGATAGATCCATATGAAATCCCAAAATGCTCAATATCGCTCTCAGTGCTCAACACTTGACATCCATGCATACCAATCTCGGTAGTAAATCCGTACCCCAGATTAAGGGTACGCCGGCTCAGCATACCGTCTCCCAGAAACCCCAAGGGGACTGGTCCCCCGCTCATCAGGCGGCATGCGCTTCTCCCATCTCTTTCTCTCAGATCGTGGATCCCATCCGGGATAGTCGCGCCTACGCTCGGCATCCGCATGGCTGCTAGTCCGTCTCTCCATGTCCGGTCGGCGCAGGTACCGATCACGTCTTTCTTCTTCTCTTTCCCGGTCAAGTTCCCGCTGTCGACCCCTTCGTTCTCGCTCGCGGTCTCGTTCCCTTTCTCTATCTCGCTCTTCACGCATCCGCCTTGATCGCTTCAGATCTTCGTCGCTGGACTCTGCTTCTGAGGAAGCTCCCGATATGTCGGAGTAGCTTCTGCTGAGTCGAGATGGAGGAAGTCGGTCTCGGCTTCGGCGTCCGCGGGACGAGTCCGTGTTGTAGGATGGGGCTCTAGGTGGGTTTCTGGTGCGATCTGGGTTGCTGCTGAGTCCGTTGGGGAGAATGTTTGACACTTTCTCGGTCAGCTTTTCTCGTAGGCTGGGGCTGTGGGTTGATCTTCGGCGGGTGGAATCGTCCGAAGCTCTCCCATCTACGCGATGAGGCCGGAATGTTGGGGGCGGGTTGCTAGCAACAGGAGGCGGGCGATCATTCGTTGGTGAATATCGACGAGTCGTCGGCGAAGGCGGGCTTGCTTCAGGTCTTCTCTTTGCGCGAGGAGGGACCGGCTCGTCATCACTAGAGTCTGAGGAGTAGTGCCTGGGCTGACTGTGTCGACGAGGCGGTGCGGGCCGCTTCGCATGAGGGTCCAAATAAGACCCCGGAGGCGCATGCGGTGCATGTGGTGGTACATCTGGCGTAGGTTGCTGGTTATAATCGGAGAAGCTTCGTCTTCGGGCATGTTCGTCAGAGCGGCTGTTGTACCTCTCAGGTGAAGGTCTGGTTGGTCGCCCTCCTGCATGTCTGCCCGGCACATGATTGTACAACGGTCGCTCAGGCCTGGCTCGGGTTCCAGCGAAAGCACTTCCTCTCACGTGGGAGTAGGCGAACTTGGGCTCTGGCCCTTCAGGAGGTTCACCAGGCCCAGCCGGATCTCGTGCTTCTCTGTATGCCTCCCTCTCTCGAGCGTTTGCTTCTTTTCGTAACTTCTCAGCGCACGACTTGTGCCATCGATCCACCTCGACGTCGGCTTGTGTTGGGAATACGGTTGGAGGTAGGTCGGCTGGAAAGTCTGCGCCAGTCTCGGGATGTTTTAGCTGCCAGTTCTTGACGGCGAACTGTAGGAAAGGAACGTGTTCCTCGGGACCGAGGAGAATCTCGAGAGATTCCCATCGTGAGAAGCCTCGAGCGGTAAGGGCAGGTATTGAAGGGGGCGCGAAGTCGTCGTCGGTTGGCTGTAGTGTGTGTTGACATCCAGTAACTTGCCAGATGTATGAGATGGACTCGTGTGGCATTTCAAATAGAGCTTTAAAAGTTAGGTATATGTCGCACAAAGTCGCTATGAAACTTACAGTCATAATCACCTCCAACAGCCTTGTAGAAGGCGGCCAGCTTTTCCGGGGTAAGGTGACAAACGGTTTTATCGCCTATCTCGAGTATCTATTATGACGTAAGGTGGTCAGTATGCGATCTTTCGAATATTGACAAATTTTGGAACTAAGCGGTTGAAGAAAGGGTGCGCGCATACAATATGACGACTAATAGCTCGTAATAGAGCATCTAATAGCTTTGACGGGCTTTTATCCTTCTCATACATATACGAATACTCAATAGCCGGAGGCGGCGGGGTTGACGATGTTGCGCCCGGCGGGGCTTCTGTCTTTGGAGGGGCCGCCATAGTTGAAGAGTCGGAGACGAATAGTGAGGTCAAAGATGCAGGTGAGAAGAGAGGTTGTCGAGAAAAAAAAGATCACGATGAAGGTGGGATCACATCCAGGGCAGATCGCGGGGAAACGTGGATGGCGGTCAGCGGATCGATATCGATATCCAAGATGGACAGTGCAAGTTGTAATGATGCCGTAAACGAGGACGATGGTGCATTCGACAAGACTCTTCAGAAACAACGGAGGAAATCAAACAGTAAAGACGACGATAAAAAGTCGCAAAAGTGCAGAGTAGCACAGACCCGATCAAGTCCCGTCAGGTTCGGGTTGGGATCCAATACCTTATATGAAATGGAGCCCAGCGGATGAATGAAATGACAATGACAACCTAAACTACCTGAGTCAAAAAGTAAGGCAAGGCAAGGCAGGGCAATGCCAGGCAGAGTTGACCGGGGTAGACTTGGCGAAGAAGTGGGCAGAAAGACGAGGATCTTTTTATTTAGGTAGGTATTCAAGGGGAAGAGAGGGAAAAAAGCACGAGCACAGGAACAAGACAACGGTAAACAAGGCACAAAGAGACAAGAACGGAAGACAGACAGAAGAAAAGACGCTTGCTGGTGCTGCTGCTTGTGAGAGTGAGAGGAAAAGACTTGGTTCCATGATTTGACTGGTCTCTTGCATGGATGTGCCTGGGAGACTGCGGGTGGCTGACAAAAGGTTGCTCCTAGCAGATACTCTGTACAGTAAGGTATAGCACAATAAGCAGCTGACTCTTGTATCATCCGGAGCTACTACTAGTCTACGTCTATCTAAGTTATTTGCCATGTTGATCTTTTGTTTCTTCAATCTCTTTGTTACACTGCCTTTATCTTGTTAATCCTCTCTGCGGTGTTTATAACTATCCCGCCCGTCTCCCATCGGAATCTACAATAACAGCGTACTTCCGAGAAACAAACACAACGCATCATGAACTGACATATCATAACGCAAATAGACATCATATCACATCGCAGCAGCCCTTCATTGCCGGCCCCTCGTGGCCTGACACGTGCATCTGTGTTGTAGGCGCCCCGGGTGATCCCTCCCACGAGGACCAGGCAGTACAAAAGTTCAAGTCGAAATAGAAGTGGATTCCGTCTTCTTCATTTTCGCAACGGTCTACGGCTGTGTAAGATAATCTAAGCCCATAACACGAAAATAGCTGCTTTCAAACCTGGTTGGTTCCCTCTTGAGGCTGAGCTTACTGTACTTTTTGCTGTGTCGCAGAAACGGTGTGCTGAGCTGAACCCCCACCAAGGTCCGTGAGATGATTTGACATGGGCTGAATAATCTCGAAGATTCTTACATGTTCCCTCAGCGTCATTTGAGGCTGATAGATCAGTTTATTCGGATATTTTCGTGAGCGGGACAGACGGTATGTACAACGTGAGAATGAACAAAGCATCTTGTGAAACAACATGGCACTGATGTCATTGTTTATTCGAGGACAGGGGACCATTTTTAATTGACGGCCTAACCAAGCAAATCTATTCCGAAAACCCGGAGCAGAGGCCGTTGAGTACGGTGATGTAGGGTAAGCCATTTTTCGTAGGGCAGAACCAGGGTTGACTCCACTAACTCCAATGAGGTAACGGTCATCTCCAATTTCATCTCGTACTGTTGGCCTCTTCTTCTGAAAGTTGAGACAAGCAATTCCGAGCTTTGTGACGTCTTTGTCTACTTCTTTCACACTCCTTCTGAAATACTTCTTTGTATAATCGCTGAGCTTTGATCCGCTTCTCTTCTACGCCTCTTCACCGTATTCTTGGTATCAGACCACCATGGACGCCCTCAAATCAGCCATCACCCCCATCACGCATAACCTCCCCGCGCCGATTCGCGACTTGGGCGTTTCCATCATCGGCGAGACGTGCTACAAATCTCTCCTTCTCGACGTCAACATCGAGGATGCCGATTGCATCAAGTTCGCTGTCTCCAAGGCTCTCGGCATCGGTATCATCGCCGCTTCGTCCATCGTCAAGGTTCCCCAGATCCTGAAGCTCATCAACTCCAAGTCCGCCGAGGGTGTATCTTTCCTCTCATACCTTCTCGAGACGGCGTCGTACATCATCTCGCTCGCCTACAACTTCCGAAATGGCTTCCCTTTCAGCACCTATGGCGAGACTGCTTTGATCGTGGGACAGAATGTTATCATTTCCGTGCTTGTTCTGAACTATAGCGGCCGTGCTAGTCTGGCTGCTGTGTTTGTCGCTGCGCTTGCTGGAACTGTTGCTACGCTGTTTGCCGAGAATGTCGTGGATGCGCAGACCTTGAGCTACCTCCAGGCTGGTGCTGGTGTTCTGAGCGTTGCCAGCAAGCTGCCTCAGATCCTCACCATCTTCCAGCAGGGCGGTACTGGTCAGCTTAGCGCTTTCGCTGTAAGTCAATCTTCTTTTCTCCCCTCTTCGTTTGTACAATGACTAATGGTCATACAGGTCTTCAACTACCTCGCTGGTTCTTTGTCCCGAATCTTCACAACCCTCCAGGAGGTCGACGACAAGCTCATTCTCTATGGATTCGTCTCCGGCTTCGTCCTCAACGCCATCCTTGCTCTCCAGATGATCTTCTACTGGAATGCTCCCTCTGAGAAGGCCAAGGGCAAGCAGCCTGTTGCCCCCATTGCGGCCAAGCCTGCTGTTCTGACACCCTCTTCCTCTACCACTGCTACTCCCAAGAAGAGCCCTACCACTCGCCGACGTGGTTAGATGGTCACACCCTTTTTGTGTGTTGCGTTTGCTTTATAGACTCGATTTGTCATAATCATTTTTAATAAGATTTTACTGTTACGCGCTTTGCTTCATGATGCTTTGCTGTGTGATTTTGACATGCATTTGTTGTCAAATGTTACACGAAAACGTGTGATGCTAACTACTTACATAAACGTGTTGCACAAAACCTACCGATGATGCTATCCGAAGCAGTGGTGCAAATGGTATCCCCCCTATATGCTGCCCGTTGAACGCCGTCGTAGTAAACCAAAGTGTCGCTAATCCTTTTCCATTACCCAGTTCCATACAATATCCAATCAAAACATTGATGCAGTAACTCTGTTCCATGTCGCACGTGTAGGTCGATCGTTTCGACCTGCGCATTGGAGACAATGTCGCTGTTCACCAAGGTTGCTCACAGAGCAGCTGAAGCAAACATGCTTGCCACAAGCACTGCACGAATGATCCTCGTTGTTGACACCATCGATGTCCATGCCATCATCGCCGCTGTTGAGACTGGCACCACAGTCGTCGCAGTTCGAGGGGGTGAGTTGTGTTTGGCCCAGGCTGGTTGTCGGGGCTGAAGGCGCCGAAGAGATGTTCCAGAACCGGTGGAGAGATTGTTGGTTTGATTCAGGTCGAGCAGGTTCGAGTGGTACTTGTATGTTCTCAGACGGAAGTTCAGTGTGTTGATGCTGGCTCTGCGCAGAGTAGAGCATGTTGAGAGTACGTTCTGAACTCAATTAGCACATGTACAGTGCATGGTTACTTGTATAAAAGCCTACCATGAATTATCTCTTCTGAAGGTCGATTATCCCGGAATCGCTTCATGGTTCGACTGTGAAGATGAATAGGCGTCGATGCCATGATCGCGAAAGGATTGGTAATGGAGTTGCCGAGTCGAGGAGGAGAGTCGAAGGATGAGACGGATGAGGGAGAGGCGCAGAGCTCAGAGACGGATCGCTTGCGTTTATGGGCCATTTTGGTTATGGGAAGGACAGGTTTTTGAGTGTATAGAAGGGAGTCGAAACAATTAGGTCAATGTTATCCGTACAATGGATGTAAATAGAGAGGATGAGGTGAGATGGATCAACTTCTCTACGGGAACTGAGACGAGACTGAGACTGTGGGGCTCGAGTTGGCTGCGCGACATGACGCGCTTAAGTGGTGACGTTGGACGCGTTAATGGCCCACGCCAATCATCGCGCTACACTTACCTACCTTGCCTATCCTGGCTATCCTTCTATAATACACAAAACGTCCATCTTGGGATGGGTGGATAGATATCTTCATATTTACACTTACCCTACATAAGGTAATCTAGGAATAAGAGGACTTGAGCTGGGCGTGGAATTTCCTCTCCATGAGAAGTCTGTATGAACCACACATCTATCTCTCTATTATGAGCAATATTTCTACAGAACAAATTGTGACTATCCTTAGTACAATCCCAGGTCTACTTATATCATGTCTAAGTGCTTCGTTCGCATACCTTGCCCTTCAGCGCAGCCATGTAACCCCATCGAATTTAATATCACACACATCGGTGCAGTTCAGTCGAAGTATGAGAACTATGGCCAACTTACTAAGTTTTCTATGCCTAATCCATCTATAGCCGCAACATGCAGTCCCTGTACCAAGCTTCTACTGATATCTTATTTCCGGGCGAAAATCTACCCCAGCTGCCACCTGCGGCCCACCGGAATATAAGTGGACGAGGGCACAGAGAGTTTGAGATTATGCCACCAACAAGACTCGACAGGCAACACAACTTGTTGCACCCGGACCCAGTTGCAGTGTGACGAGATGACATAAGCTGTCTGGATTCTGGGGTCAGTCTATGTCTGAGCGTCTTTATGAATGTAAGTATGTTGAGTCTAGTGCTTGTACGGAATAAACAGCTAGATTTATTTTGTTAATTCCATGTCAATTCCTCTTGCTCGTCTATAGCCAAAGCTGAAGTACCTATGTATGTGACTAACAGTAGAGATGAGGCCTCCCCACGTTCATGACTGGAACTAAAGTACTAAGCCCGCCTCAACCTGCCAATGCTATCCCAAGCGCTCATCGCCGTATAAGGCAATCCTCGTTGCATGTTTACGCTGCATGTTAAGCAGCCTGTCCGTCAGTAAACATATGAAGATGGTTTTGAGTTGTTTCCTCTTCGATCAATGATTACTCCACAGTCCACACCAACCCGAGTCTGTGGGATACATGGCATGCTTGACGCTACTTGTATGGCGACTTAGCCGCAGTTTGTGTCCTTTGCTCCACCAATTACCTCCTCCATAAGCATCACCATCCGTCGAGGCAAGTAGTTGGTGGAGGGCACTCCGCGGGGCATTATGAACTCAGAGGGTAAAGTACCTATGGGCCGTACTAGGTAAACCCGGAGATCAGTACATCACCTTCTGTCTTCTGCCTTCTACTTGGCACGGTCTGCTGGGAACAAATCGTACCCCCGAGAGTTGCCTCATCGGGTGGAAGTCCTACCAAGACCAACAGTGCATGGTTTAGCTTCCGTCGTTTTATCTCCTTCGGTGATACACTTTACTAGATCAAGATGATCGACTTCTTAAGGGCTCTTTATAGAAAAGATTAGCGTCGACTGGAAATGTGTGGGCACTTTACTAGGTCGGGATGATCAACTTCTTGAGGGGCTCTTTATGGGAAAGATCGACATCGACTGGAAACGCGCGGGCATGTAAGCGTTCTAGGAGTGCCATATCGTTCCAGAGAGCTGAGGCAAGTCACAGGGGTAAGTTCAGCTCCACACCACACTAACCATCCTTCCATCCCCCATCCCGGGGCGTCATCTCAACTGAAAAGGTCCATATGGGATATAAAAGGTTGCCGAAGCCAACTTAGTGATGACATGACAGCAACCATCCACAAACACCAAGCTTTCTCTCAAAGCAGCTTTTGACATTCGTTCAGTCACAGTTGCGTCCTTTCAATATGGCTCAATTATCAACTGATGCTGTCATCACTCTCGTCAGCACAATTCCTGGACTCATTGTCTCGTGTCTAAGTGCCTGGTTCGCCTACCTAGCACTACACCGAAGACCCATCCCCCAGAGCGATGTCGAAACAGCCGCGATGCTCTTCATGATCCCAAGGACATTTTATATTCCTCCTAGGTTCGCGTTCACATGCCGTCACCTTTCAATGAGTTGAGCCTGACTTGTTTGTCCTCCAGTGCCTTGTCCCACACTGATTCAGAGAGGACATTGACGAACGGTGATGCCCTTCAACTACCACCCGCAACAAGTCAACAATGTATTGGGTCGAGCCATTCTCGAGTGCTTGAGCATGCTGAACGTGTATCATAATATCGTCATGAAAAATACGATACAAATTGAGAATGCGTTGCTTTTCAATGCCTCAACATGGGCCGCGATGCATACGACGCAACTGGTGTCCCCAAGCCACTGCCCCTCACCAAACGAGGCTTTCTCACTCGGCTCACATACACTACTCATCAACCAACCAGATACAGCTGTCCACTATGAGTTAGCTCTCAGTGGAAATGATTGCACCTTCATGGACTATTGCCAACCTGCAACGACACATGAGGAACATCAGGAGAACGGATTCATCCACCTGAAAGCCTTCGTCGCACGAGGCCGCTTCTTGGACTGATACAACTTATACGCAAAGAACAGTCCAACGCACGACACAACCAAGCCAAGAGTGGAGTAGACGATCGTGACGATTACTTCGGTCGACATTGGGAGGGATCGAGCGGAGAAGTGTTGTAAAGGACAAAATGGGGGTGTAGCGGATGTAATAAATACCCAGGCCTCAGGACCCAATAGATTATATAGGTATGTATGTATGAATACAGTAGGGCTATCCTACTCCATACCGTCGATTGCGTTACAGGTCGTGTTTCTCTTTCTGTATCCTCCAGGCTTTCATCACTGCCGTATTCTCTCCCTGGGGGCCCTTTGCCTCGAGGCTGTGCTGCAGTAGTAAGTGACACGAGTTGCACTTTTGCCCTCCCTTATGGCTGCACCCGACAGAGTGAAACACGGGATAGAAGTAGACTTTTGACTTCTATCCTAAAGAGTGAGGGGACTTGAGTAAATCAGGTATTATGTAGGGACTTTAACCCGATACCTAGTACTATACCTACTAGGAGGTACCTTAGGTACCTAGGTCTATCCCCGATAATTATGGAAGATACTAAGTCCTTAGGTAGGCAATAACAGGAGGACTCCTTCCACTCTTCATTAAACATTGACTGGGTACCTCCCCCACTAAAGTTTTCCCCTCTTCGGCTTCTGCTTTCTTCATCTCCCTCTTCTTTTACATGAATTTGGATAATGATGCATCATGGCTCGTACAAAATCGAAGCCCCCAAAGGCTCAACATAACCTCTATTATCACGCAAAAGACATCACAGACAATATGCGTCAAATCAAATATACCACCACTATACCCCAGATATACGATACAACCATCATCATTGGAGCTTGTAGAGTGGTTCCTCGCGATAAAGTGGTTACTCTCGATGAAGGCACTGGCTTTGAAGGCTCTGGCTTTGACATGGGCCAATGCTAGTGGAATGATGCCCGCATGGATCAGAAACGTCTCGCCCAACTCGGTCGCCGTCAAACATGGCTCAGTGCTCAGATTGCTGAGGGTTTTACCTATACGCCCCCCAGCCAGATAATAGGCAGAATACTTCTGCACATACGAGAGGCTTGTGATGAAGCAAAGGAGACGTATTTGCCCACCGAGATCCTCGTTATCCTCTACGGCTTCGGGAACCCCGCAATCGGCTGTCATATGGATTGCACCAAAGACCTCCTTGAGCCTGATGCAATGATCACTCCTACCAAGATTCTCAACGAATTGCCCCCAGGCCGAGATGTAACTTTGGCCATGCGCGTGTTTACTACGAAACACTGGGTACATGCCTACAGGCTGCACAGAATGCAGCTTGACAAAGTTAAGACGGCTCATCTAGATGTCTACAAACAAGCCGGCGAGGATGGAACATTGATCAAGCAAAATTTTACCGAAGAAGGCGCCTCTGTTTACCGGCATTCAAATGCACCGCAGATACTATCGGCACAACGTCACTACGAGCTTGCGCTCTGGTTTCGAGAAGGCCTCGAAGAGGACAAAGATGGCAGCCCGAAATTCAAGAGAATATTGCAATTCATGGACCCGTATCCTAGGGAGAAAGGGGTGAAATGCTTAGCCAGGGTAGCTTCGTTGGCAATGGTAGTGAACTTTCGGCTGTCAATGGCATTCTTGACGGATAACATAGTTGCTCACTTCAACCTCAAACGCCCTATGCAGCAGACTTGCCTCGAGTGGATGATGTTCCGGTGGCTCGAACGCCAAGATAATCTCACACGCTCTGATGGATATTCCAACTTGTTCAAAGATCTGATGGATATCGAGAACGGGGCCGAACCACCATGCAGTGGATACACCCGATTCTACCTTTATCTACGTGCAGCTCACCATGAAACATACTTAGCTGAAGAAGAAGTAGGGAAACATACAGTAGAACACATCGACAGTGTCTTAGAGGAGATTGACCTTGTCTTTGATTACGTACTAGACAAGGTCCAGGAGAAAATACTCGACCCCTGCGACGAGACCATTGAAAATGCGAAAAAGCAGTACCGAAATCCAGCAGAGGGGGATTTAAGTCAGCACGTAAGCCTTTGGCCGGAGGGTTTGAAACGTACGATGCAAGCATTATGTGACTTGATCTATGATCAATGTCCAGTAGGCCACATCCAGGAGGAATAATGAGAGCAGAGTAGGTAGGTAGGTTAGTAGCTATAACAAGCAATGCGATTATCCATGACTCCCTCTTACATGGTAGAGACCTAATCTAAGTTACCTATACTATGGGAGCAAACACTGAACCTAAATAATATTGAAATAAAACCAGCAAAAGATATTCTAAAGCTTTAGGCTAACTTACCTAAGTATTTATATTAATTAAGATCAAGATCTGGAGTTTTCTTCATTTCCTCGGCACACAATTTATGGGCTTTGGATTAAAGCCTTGAAAACTTGTTGAAGAGGCTGTGGCTGGTTTATAAGGTAGTTATTAGCAGGTTAGAGTTAATGTTAAAGTTATCTCCTTTGACCAGCTGATTCTATCTGTCTTGTCGTCATGGCCAAGCCAAAACGGACACTAGGTACCTCCCGAACTTGCTTCCCTATTCTGGAAGAAGCAAAGCTTCTCATTGGTTCTTTAAACTCACCCCAATCTTGTAGATTATCCCATTCGCTCTTTGTAACGATGCCATCTCTTATGAACTATAAGCTTTGGTATTTGGGGTCAGGAGACACTGCTAAGTTTACTCTGAAAGCATATTCGTGGTTCTGCCACTCGATGATTGGATTCACGATGAGGTACTGAATGAATTTTACCTCTCTTACTCAGGTTGAAGCTTTACCACTCTGCACTAAGATAAAAAGCTTGTTTCAAGCTATAAGGACTTTCAGTATAAGTAGGGCCTTATTTCTTTCAGTTCTGTTTTGTCCCATCACTCACCACCACCTTTGGTCATCTCGGGTCCTTCTTTGCACACAACTCAACTCATACATCATATCGCCATGTCTTCATCTTCAAGTCAAACGACTCCTCCAGGTCCATCAGAGGCCCCCAGCGGAAGGAGCTCTCCGCCAACCTATGAGTTAGCTGAGCTGTCTCACGAGCCTATGGCAGAGCTAGTGAAAGTCGTCGTCGAGCCCGCAATGCCTGCACCTACAATGCATGCACCTACAATGCCTGTACAACTACAAACCCAAGAACATTATGAAGCCCACCAGTCGCGGGAGGAAAAGTCGCAGTATCCATGGAGAATTTCTCGGCTCAATATCTTTTTCTTCATATTCGATTTGCTGTTCTGCGGATTCCTCCTTTTCAACCTGTTGCGGTGAATCCCCATTAACGGCTCCATACGAGGATGCGAGTGTTGATTTTGTAAGTCTACCTTACTGAGAGACTTCTGGGATTGATCTGACATTTTGTGCAAGCATGTTCAAGTCAGGGATGTTTAAGTGGCGGGAGTCCGATCCAATCTTCCATCTGCTTACCCAGCGGTCATGGACACTTCACCTCAGAAGACAGGGTTGGTTACTGGAACTAGGTAGTCGACTTGTGATGCGGAATTTTAGGCCGTCTCTGGATAGTAGCCTGTGGAGGGATGGAGTTGCGTGAGCTTACATGCTCGACTGAGATCGTGTCTATGGGAGTCTTTTTTCTTAAACACGCTTTTATAATTAATGATTCAAGATTCTACTTCATACTCTAGGAGGGTCTTTCATCCCTTTCTGCTTCCTGCACTACTACGTATAGATCTGTTCGGAAACATGTCCCATGATCCCCAAGTAACAGATTTCGCCTTGACCAGTTGCATAAAAGACTCAGCAATCAACCTTTCGAGAACAGTGTTTGTCACGATATTGAATTAGAAGTACACTAGAGACGAAATGCCACACATAATCAATGGTCCAGTCTTCCCGCACTGCTCCCCACACCATAAAATCAGATATCCTCTCCCCTAGGGACGAACCACAAACTTTCCAATCCCCCCCTTACTCTTCAAAGTCTTCTCACACCCCCTCCTCACTTCTTCCAAATCATCCATATCCACCGCCGTATTGACAGCCTTGACCATCCCCTTAGCAACCATATCCGCCACAACCTCCATGTCCTCTCGAAGCCCTGGATGTCCCGATATGAACTCATACTGGATCTTTGTACCGCGCAGCTTCCACGAGTACCAGATCTGCAAGAAATCGAGGACCCAACCAAGCCATTTGGGGAACTTGGGACCGAGCATTTCTGCCATGACATCACTTTTGGGGATGCTGGCAATACTCATGAGGATGCCGTCGGTTTTGAGAACGGAGATGCTCTCGTTGAGGGTGGAGAATTGGGTGCTTATTGCAAAGTCGACGGTGCCGCGGCCGATGAGCTTGACGATGTCTTGGGTCTTGTAGTCGTAGAGCTGAGTGATCATTCCAGGAAGATACTCTTCAACCAACCCCATTTTGGGCGTCGAGACAGTCGAAATGATCTTCTCAGCACCAAAGTAGTTCCGTGCGATCTGGATGGCCGTGTTGCCAGATGCACTGAGAGCAGCGGGTATGTAAACAGTCTGTCCTGCCAGGCTATCTCTTCCCTGAAGCTGCAGTCCACGCTTGATGCTCTGGTACGCAGTTACTGCGAGAGCTGGGGCGGCAGCGGCTTCTTCAAAAGACACATGATCTGGTTTCTTGTGAAGGAATTGTGGCTCTGTCAGGGCATATGTCGAGGCCCAAGCTGCCGGGGGTCTAGCGAGATGGGGTTTCTCAAACTCCATGCCGTAGACTGCATCTCCGACTTTGAACTCTGTAACTGCAGAACCAATCTCTACAACTACGCCAGAGCCTTCGATTCCAAATGGGATTGGGAAGTTCCTGTATTACGTGAGCTTGTAGCATGAGTGAAGAGTGGTTGTCGACTTACGAGGCCTTGTAGAGCAAGTCGAACTGTCCAGCTGCAAACCCTGTTTCACCAGTATTGATGGCCACAGCTTTCATGCGGAGAAGAAGCTGATTTGGCTTGGTGATTTTGGGTATAGGCTGCTCTATGACCGTGTACTCTGCTGGGAGACACTTCTTTGGTGCCACAAGAGTTCGAGTGGTGGATGGTAGTTTTGACATTGTGACGTTTAGATATGTCAGTCAAATAGAAGTGAAAGAATGAGTGCGTTTGGTTTAATCATATCAACAGCGGACCTCAGGTCTTTAATCAGTCCATTATCACGCGACGGCGGCGGAGGTCGGTGCCTCGGCGGTTTGTGGGGACATTTCGGGGAGGGCCCACCGAAACCGCCGAACTCCACCACCGGTGACCTTTCGGTGCCTCAACTACCAATATGAGGAGCTCACTTTGCGGACTTTGGTGTTTGTAGGATTACATGGCGGAGATTAATATGACTTAAGACATGAAAGGCTTCTCCCGGAATAACATATCCTTGAACACTTTGACAGGGCATTATTCGCATTCATCTTGTCCTCGAACATGTCATTCTAAGACCAGATCCCTGGATCCACGGATGCTCATCCAGAGCAGGACTATATGTGACCTCGATTTCATATAATACATACGTGTCTGAGAGGTTCCGTCACCACATAAATCCTTTATCGCCAGATTGCAATCAACTACAGTGACTGCAGCAAATCCAGGTGACCCTTGCTATCGTAAACGCCTTACAAATAAAGAGCAAAACTCCTACCATCATGCTTATCAACGAAGAAAAAATGAACACAACGTTGATCCTGCCGCATACGAGAGCGAATAAACCGGTCGTTTCGCGTCTGTGCCGCACGACGACGGTCTTCACCACCCTCCATGCCAAGAACTGTTACCCTCCCAGTTCGGGTCTCGACGTCTGTTGTGAATTCCATACCATCGCGAATAGCTCGACTCATCTAAAACACAGTTAGTATCAGAACAGTATTCAGACACGAAAGTTTATGTACCTCTCTCACGACTGATGCCAAGCTGGTCCGCAACATTGACATACCCCTCCTGCACGGCGCCTTTATCCTTCTGAACCTTTGCTACAAGCTTCTCGTCACCCTTCCAGACACTGCGACACATGGGGCAAGTCACTTTCCCACCAGTCTTTGTCTGCGCCCACATCTTGAAACACTCCTCGTGAATGTTCTGACCACAGGCGGCAGCGCACCAAACGATAGACTCTTGGTTCTTCTCGCCAAGCTCACAGTAGCAAATGGGACAATCACCATCGACAGGCTTCCGCTTGTCGGACTCTGCTTGTCCAGGGGCCGAAATGGGAGGCGCAGAGGCAAAGATTGATTGAAGTTCAGTGCTCAGAAGCGCGAGCTGGTAGACGAGATTAAAAGGCGCGTTGAGAACTTGCTTCATGACCTAAATTTTGTCAATAACACGATCGAAGAATCAGGTGCGATACTTACGTAGAGGATGTGCTTGCACTGATGGCCCTTCTCATGGTGAGGGCACGTACATCGCGGCTGTTTTCCAACATGAACAGTGTAGATGTTTCCAGTCGATCCTGTCATCTCAACATCTTCCTCAGGGCAATCTTGAGTTCCTCCTCTGACGCGATTAAGCACGTAAAAGCGCTGAGAAAGAGCCCGGTCGTAGATCTCATGGAAAGACTGAGGTGGCTTGGGTCTGAACCTGCGGAGTCGCTTTTCCTCATTTGTGACTTTCGGCTTCTTCACTTTCTTCTCCTCGGCTTGATATGAGACATCTTCTTCTGTGATTTCATGAGCTTTGCGCTTCATTGGTACTGGTGGCAAAACTGCATCTTGCTGAACGCTTAAAGCTGCTTTCTGGGATGGTTGACCCGCTTTGACCTTGTTAATCAGATCTAGTAAGACTGGCTCTTGCGGCGTCTTGAGATTACCACGAGCAGCAGAACGCAAAACTCTGGTTGATTTCACACTGGCAGACCCCATTTTGATGAGCCTTTTGTTTGTCCTGTGATAATTTGAGAGAGATTTGTGGAAGACGGAAAATGTGATTTCGTCGCGACTGCCTCCAGGGTATGGCAAGTCCCCTTAGCATTTTGGGCAGTGGCGTACAGTTACATGGTCACGTGCCACTCCTTCCTCATGGGCGTTTGGAACTTTCCACGTCAACGTCAACGGCAACGTCATCTCAAAAACCCCTGTGAATCATCCAGCGTTTCAAAAAAGACAATTGAGTTCGTTCAAAGATCCATGTCGGCTGAACCGTGAAAGAGATGATTGGTGTTTTCTTTAATGGGGTTATTGCATGCGACTTCAGTCACCCCGCATTGGAATGCGATTCACACAAACTTAACAACTTAACATAGGCATCAACTTAGAAAGGAACTGCTCTTTAGCATTGATTTATCCTATCTTCTTCATCCACTGATCCATCTCTTTTGACTGGCTTCATACCGCTCATGATAGCCCAAAAAGAAACATAGCCAAACGCCCCGAAACAAGGGACTAAACCCGCCCCTGCTCTCCTGAGGGAACATAGATGCCCCGCCGTAATGCGCCCCCTATACATAGAAAAACAACAAAAGAAATTGAAAGGCAGGTTGATGTAGTAGGTACAGGCTATGCCGCAAAGACGGCAGCCTCTTTGAAATGGTTCAACGCCGAGTCTATGCTATGGCTGTCAAAGGTGTATAGTATTAGACATGAAGGGAATATGTGTGTGTGGCCGTAAGGTCATCGAAGTGATAGTATCATGGAGGTCGTGTGGTTGAGGGCCGTGGTACTGTCATCGAGGTATCGGTTGTTCATCGTACTAAACCACGGGCGCGGGTATTATTGTGTTTGGCCCGGATGGTGATTTGATATGGCTATAGTTATCATCAAGACGTGTCAACGTTCACGCAGCTCTGACGCGATGCCTTGGAAAGTGTCGCAATGTGTATGCGCGCGGCTTTCAAGGCAATGGGCGTCGGTGGCTGGGATCGCGAGGCTGTTGATATCGACCAGATTGTTGCTGCTGGGCAGTCAACCATTCTGTAGAGCCAGTTTGTCGACCAGGTTGCTCAGCAGGCAACTTGGTATCGCTTCCGCTTGCGCCAGTGTGGTTTGATCCCCCAGGTGATCCAGGAACCAAGTCAGTTACGGCCTGTGCAATTGAGGCCACGACGTAGCCTCGGAGTTCGTTGTCTTCCCGGCTGTCTTCCTTCTCCAATCGGAATCGCTCGTCCTTGTTCATGTTGGATCGGCGCATGTTCTTGATCTCTTGCATAACATAGAGAAGAACCTCTTCAGGGCATCGGTTACGCTCAGCAGCGTGCTGGTTCTTGCGCACGTATCGTCGAGTGACATCGGTAGCGCCATCAATGGAGAATGCAATGCAGTAGGACATCTTCTTGCCCCAACCCTCAGCATAAAGGCGAGGGTTATCC